TGAAAGTCAAGTGAGCGTCGCAGTCTATTTTACCTTCCACTCTGGGCGGGCCGTGGCGATTTTGACCGACTCTACGTGCGGGCGACGCAAAAGCCCCTACCCTATACCTGTTAGTAGATATCTAGCTATTAGTGTGCCCCTAATAAATCGCCCTTGTTCCATCGCATTCAGTGTCCCTTAAATAGGAGATGAGCTGCGATTTATAATGAACAGTATATGGATCCGGCATCGTTTGAATCCTTGCATCCACTGCCCTAGCTCAATCCTTCCAGAGATCGAATTTGACTTATTGCAGTACTGTTTAGATTCATTTGATGCCAGTAGTTTCACAGTTCCCGTGCTATTTTATACTACGTCTGAGCCCGTTAACCTCTGGTACCTGAAGCTGATAACAGGAAATCATCAGATTTAGAAAAGCGTAGGGGTCCTAGGTGTTAAAACGTCTTGTGTGACTAACTGTTTCAGTTTCGTAATCGGTAGTAGTAGGAAGGGATAGCCACAGGACAAAGAATGAATGAAAGCTCCTCTTTGAATATCGTGCACATCTGTGTGATCTTATTAAAATAGAATTATCGCTGAAAGGGTTCTTTGATAGGAAGAGAATGCTGCGTATGTTATTTGTCTTGGTGCTGGGCCGAATAACCTGGACAGAAATCCTCACTCAAACACTTGCTAGGTGGTTCCAAATGGACCCGATCATCCCACTGTTTACAAGGGTATTTATCCCTTGCAAACGGTGTACTTGAACGCTGCTTGAGCACGTTGCAATATTTCGTTGTCCAGCGATCGGCAGGCCACCAACAACGAAGGTTCATGCTTCTTTCACCATTGAACTATTGCTCAGCATCTGCTCATCCAGTCTATGTAGTATTAGGAATATAAATGCACCCAGGCAAGCTCTACCACTGTTGGTCTCGTCGTAGACGGTACATCCGTAACTGATTGGATCACGTGCATGTAGGTTGTTTAAGTTTACGGGTATCCTGACGACGGACATGAGCTGTCTCGCGGATGATCCTCCAAACGAGTATCACTTTCCTTAACTCCTTGAGGTAGGTAACCTGAACATGCAGCACTTCCTCCCGGCTGTGCTCTTCAGTAACCGGTCTCCAGCTGAACCCCGATAATAGAGTTGCTGTTCGATTTTGTAGAATTGCAGTAATCTTCTATCCCCTCTCGCACCACAGTTCACAAGTGACTAGATGGTTCGCTTTGAATTTCGTCTCTCACGCACACTAAAGTTACAGAATAATCATGTTTATAGACATATGGTTATCTAAAATGGATGTCTGCTTTGTCTACCGTCAAATCATTTCAGCTACCAGAGCTGTCTGCCAGATAGTTTCGATAGGACCCAATGCACATCCATCTCTCATCAACAATCCAGTTGAGTTCACCCAAAGATTTTGAGTTACGGATGAAGGAGAGGCCCAATAACATCATTCACTTGGTCCTGCCTAACACGCAACCTGACAGTAATACGAGTGCTGCCACTGTTCCCACTATTTATTATGATTGTTGTTGTCAATATCGATCAGTGAAGGGAATGATAGTAGTAATAATGATGACAACAACGTCAAGAGAGGCCACTTCGAGACGTGGGGATTCGATCTCATCTGTGAAGTGTCGTACGATAAACCATGGTTGACATTCACATGGAAGTTGGATGCTGCTAACTGAGATGTGGAAGTCATCATTTCATCCGTAAGAACCGCGTGCGTGTCTTGCAGTAGTTGTAGCTGCCAGAGTTTCGTCAACCGATGATTTTTGGATGTGACTGAGGTAGCTGCGCATTGGAGTCGGGAGTTCATAAATGTTTGCGTAAAGACAACACTTTCAAACTAGGGAATCGGGAAGGGATCTATGCAATGAAGGCAATAGCTTGGATGTACGAGTGCCATTGAGAGAGCGACTGGGCCATGTTTGACAGTGTCTCTATCCATTGCTGTACCCGTCTTGAGGTCCCATCCAGGAAGACGGCAATGACCAAGACAACTGAGTTTGCTGGTAATAATTTTCACACTTCGTTGCCAAGTAATTGTTTGATCGCTTCTGGCTCTCTTCCACCTTTCACGTGGCTGTGCGAAAAGAACCCTTCGAGGAAGTCGGTCGACTGGCATACGCAGCACGTACCCAAGCCAGCGCAACCTAAGCAGTGTGATCATTTTATTTATCGAGGTTGAGTTATTTCTCCCGAATATCATTCGCCGAACTTCGGCATTGCTAATCCGGTGTTCTCATCAGATTCGGGCAATGCTACGAAGACATCGATGGTCAAAGACTGAAAGCCTTGACGTCCTCGGTGCGCGGCGGCCAGGTTTCTGACCCATATAGTAATATGGAGCGCACTGCAGCATTGTAAACTCGGTCGTTGACAGAGAAGCTGATGTAACGCCTACGCCACCAGTGGCACAGGTTCACAAAAGCTGCCCTGACCTTTCCACCCGGACTGATACAGCTGCGCAGGTAAACACGTTTGTCTGCTCCCTCTATCGGTTTATCCGCAAGCATGAGGCTAGGGTTCGAGCCCACTCAGTCTTGCAGTGGCCCTTTACACTTTACAGGTGTGAAGTGCATGCCAAACTATGAGGCGGAATTATTTAGATTATTTGATATTGTTTGCATTACGACGGGGTCATATCCAAGAAGAGCTATGACGTCTGCGTACTCGATGTCTGTGATCGGAGTCCCAGCACTTCGGCTTCACAGGCATTAGAGGCTGGTAGTGAGCTTTCAATGACCGCATCACTGGCGAAGTCGAAGAGGAAAGGTGAAAGCGGATGGCCCCATCTGACACCACTCGATGTGGTGAACTCAGAGGAGAGCTTCCTGTAGACCTTCACACGGCCGCGGAAGTTGGTGTATAGCGTCTTAAGAAGGGTCAAGAATTGATGGTGGATACCTTTGCTCGGCAGATAGTGCAATAGTGTCTAGCTATCCACAGAGTCAAAGGCAGCTTTTGGATCGAGGAACACAACCATTGTTGATTGCTGGAAGCAGTGTCGCTGTTCCAGAATATGTCGGATGGTGAAGGCATGGTCTATGCATCCTCTTGAGGACGGAACCCAGCTTGGATTTTACGGATCTCTCTCCTGTGTTCAGCCAACCTTCGAAGGCTAAGGCCAGGGAGCACATTCGATGCCACGGTGGTTTACACACAGCGTCCGCGTACCCTTTTTGAAGATAGGGATAATTGTCGACAAGCCTTGTTCCTCGGGTACCTTCTCTTCGTCCCAAATAGCACCAATAAGTTTTATCAGATGGGTTACCATGAATTCTTTACCCTGTTTGAAGTGGGCTGGATACAGCTCCTCTTTTCCTGGTGTGTTAACACGTTTCAGTACGGATGTTTCACACTTCGTTATTCCTCCAGCTGACAAAACCCGAAATATCAAAGGGTACTCAGGAATGCCCGAAGAAAAGCTCAATGTTTGGGGATGATTTGTTTGGTCTTCCTCACCTGTGCATATCCCATATGAAGTCCTTCCTGAATTTTTCGTCCGGTTTTTCACAATTGCTTTCAAATGAGATTACAAGAATCCTGACACCAAGAATTTTTTTTGCTACCTAACTCTAAGACGCCAGTTTTTACTTTCAAACGACTCTGTGTTTTCTGCTTGAGTGATTGTTCCCAAAACTGTGCCCCTATAGGCTCCGAGTCGCTTTTGAAACTGCTGGTTAGTTTATGTGCGAAAAAATTGGTGTGAAATTTTGCGCAACATTTGGGCGTAAACCATTCACACTTTACCGAACTATTTAGTTCAGGTTGAAGGTCGGACTGGATCGCCAAAACTGTTGCTTCCAAGCCAGACACTTAGAACATTGCAGGCCTTTATCCGTGCGATCGGTTCTGAATCAGATAGTTTGTCGCTTTGGGTGTGAAGACGCAACTCTATACGGGCAACAGCTCCTAACTTCCAACCTTCAATGGAGATGAGCTAATGTGCTATGTGGCTGTCCTTTGAATCTCTCCTCAGTAGGTGTCCTCGATCGCTCAGAAACATTCAGTTTGAGTCAGGGAAACTCATGAGGCTATCACAACGATTCCGCAGGTCCACTCCTGTGGGAATGTGGCAGCTGAATGCGTCAGCGAGCCTTCCGGTTTGTGACACTAATAATAGTGTCCTGAGGTATTCGACTGTCGCCACCTTGAGGTTGTTTATGTGCTCTCTGTATTTAGATTCTGCCCACAGTGTTGGAGGATTTAACTTATTGGAGTAATGAAGCATGTTGCTTTTCTAGAGGATACCTATGTTCACGAAACAAGGGCTTGATTTGCTTTTTTAGGTTAAGGCCACTATTAAGGTTAAGGCAGCACTGTGGATGGTGGCATTGTCGTTTCCCCAATCGTGCAGCAGCTAGTATTCGACCTTTGTCTGAGGCTTCCACCCACTTGGAACCAGAACCGAGAGGTCGTACCCCCAGAAAGAAATCATGTAGACTGCAAATAGTGATATGCTTACCATCACAGAAATCTACCGGTTCTGATTCAGCAGTTGACCTATGTTCCTCCGGTTCGATAATTCAAGTTCCCTCACTAAGCTAATGATCAGAATGATCAGTGTATGATATCACTATGGACTTCGAGGAGCGCGAAGTTCCTCCGGTTCGATAATTCAAGTTCCCTCACTAAGCTAATGATCAGAATGATCAGTGTATGATATCACTATGGACTTCGAGGAGCGCGAATCATTATGCCCCATCCATTGTTTTTTTTTCATTCTAGGTTACGTGGACTTTGGATTCATGTACAAATGAGCGTGACCGTTTTTGTAAGACCCGAACACATTCACACTTCTCACACCAACCATGAGACCACGAAACAAGCTGTTAGCATCGCTCTCACTCAGTTGCACAAACCGGGAGTCTTCTGGTGTCTTAGGCTTGTCACTCAGGTGGTTTGGATAGAGTGAAGTTGGCAGTTAACCAACTCGTGGTTCTACCTTCAGCGTGACTTTGACCACACACTCATGCCTATAATCTCTGCCTTTTCACACCAGGGCTATGTCACAGAAGAAAAGGCCCCCGCCATTTTCTTCCGCTTCATTTCGCGCCACACATTTCATGGGGCCTTGTTTGATCCGAACGGTCCGGGGTTTTATCCCTATATACCAGGTGTACTTCACTCGCTGCTCGTCTTTGTTATGAATCAGCTTGTCTTCCACTCAATCGCCAAATACCTAACTGATTATGAAAATCACCAGGTAAGCCGTTTCACGCTTTTTGTTTTTCGATTGAGTACATACTGTCTAGCTAACATAGCTAACCTGAACGATGAATGTGGTGGTGGTATGCGCCGAAATTAAGCGCACACGGTTATATTGGTTTGGTCGCTGCGTTGGCTGTTTTTTACACTGTCTTGAGTCTTGCTAGTCGTGTCAATAGGGTGGACCGAATGAGTGGCTGATGTTGAAAGCTCGTTTACCGCTACTGTATGAGCATGCAAACCTAGGGGAATCGACGCAACTGTTTTCACCTTACTTTTGTCAGTTCCACCAACGTAATGTAAATACTCTTCCATCCATCAGATGTTACTAGCACTTGCGTCGTAAAAATTTCCTGCCATAACCTTTTGGCTATTTTCATTATCTGCTGGCTCTCTCCGGTAAGTTAAATCAAGTGTAACTCATCATCATCGTCGTCGTCGTCATCAAGACAGCAACGTCAGTGTTGACACTGATGTGCTTCACTGTCGTACAAATATAAGGTTCGTCTAATTATATTTAAAGCCCTAGAGTGAAAAGAAGATAAAAAGAGTGGGCGAGAGAGGGGATCCAGTGCTGGCATATGCCAACCATTCTGTGGTACCTACACCTCCAAGCGCTCAATCAGACAATCTGGAAAGAAACTGACAGCACGAACACCACTGACATCAATTAGCTGCCATTTCTTACAACGTCGCCAGCCAAGCACAGATGGGGCGACGGGGACCCCATCCTGAAAGGCTTACAACACCAGCAACACCCAAACTCTTCGTGATCTCTTCCACGCCCTTCTGCCAAGTCATGCGTTGTCCACTTCGCGGTTTGCGCCATTCTGAAGGAGGCACGGAGAACAACACTTGTCTTGGTCGACGGCGTTTCGGCATGCGTAGCACATGACCGATCCATTGTAGTCGATGATGCTGGATGTTTTCCCGGATTGAAATACCTGTCGGACAACCAAATACCCGTTTTCTAATCACCCCGTTACTAACACGCTGATAACATCTAAAACCAGCCACGCTTCTGGGGCATCGGTGGTTAAAAACCTGAAGACGCTTCAAATCATCTGTCCGCAGGGGCCATATCTCGCACCCATATAACAACACAGCTCATATTGTAGCCTTGTACACGCGACCCTTAAGATCCACTGATACGCCTTTTTAGCGCCACAAGTGACGCAAATTAACAAATGTGATTGGAGTCTTTAAGATTCCCGCACTGACTTCATCAGACACACTTCCGTCAGAGCTAATACAACTACTGAGGTCTGTAAGATTATCCACAATCTCCAGTGATTTTCCTTGAATTGTAAGGAATATGTTCGCAGATGGTACGTTCTGAACCATGCCTTCGCACTTTAAAGGCGCATGCTAGAAGATTGTGTGATGGTAGTCGGGCTATTCAAAAGGGCTCGTGCTTCGCTTTGGTCCTCAGATATGAGGGCAATTTCATCTGCGTACTCCAGATCAACGAGCCTCTCACCAGCAGCAAGTTGAACACCGGGGTTTTAAAGACCTTCCAGCGTTCACCTCATCATTTCATCATTGAATTGAACAAGAATGGAGAGAGTGGACATCCTTGTCTGACACCACTTTTGGTAGGGAAGCTTTTGGAGAGCTCACCGTGCACTCTCACTCGCCCAGAATTATTCGTATATAGAGATCGGATTATCTTCACAAACCTGTGGGACATACCCCATTGAGCAAGTGTAGTTAACAGCACTGACCGATCGACAGAATCAAACGCACCCTTGAAGTCAAGGAATATGAAGATTGTGGGTTGTCTGTACATGTGGCGTTGCTCCAACACTTGACGGAGTGTGAAGATGTGGTCGAATCAGCCTCTACCCGGTCGAAATCCCGCTTGATTCTCACGAGTCAAGGCTTCGCGTGCCATCGTAAGACGACGAAGAATCAGTGGCGCCAGAGGCCTTTTCACTACAGGAGTCAAACTAACACCTCTGTGGTAGCTACATTCACTGCGAGTACCCTTTTTGGAAATGGGCACCAAGATCGATTCACCCCATTTGTCTGGGACGGTCTCTTTATCCCAGGTAGACCCAAATAGGCTAGACAGACACTGGCTGAGAAGTCCACCGCCATCCATGAAAAGAGCAGGTGGAAGGTCGTCAGGAGCACGATGATGATTGAATAGGGAAATACACTCGGACACTTCTGAGACTGAGGACGGCCCCATATTCATAGTCCAGGAATCTGGATCAGAGGTAACGGGTGACCAGCTGAATCGTTGTGCCCAGCGGTCCAAACGTTCTGCTTTGATACATATCAGGGAGCCATTTTGGTCCTTGATTATTTAGCTGATATGAGGTTTCTGACGGCCATTCGAACGACTCAAGTGGGACAGCTTGCGGACATTTCCAGCATTCTTTGAATCTTTCATTTCTTCAGCCTTTCGGGTCTACCAAGCTTTTCGGTTTGCACGGATACTCAGTTTCACCTGGCGTCGGGTGGAGTTGTGATTTCGGCTAGGAGGGATCTGTCATCGGATCTCCAGCAAAGTCACGGTCCAATCATAGATCCAATGTTTGGATGAGGTTGGCTGGGTTGTGCCGCAAACAGACGTCCGAAAGGCGTTCGACGAGCTGGTTCTGATAATTTCGTTTGACTTCAGGTTCCGCTAGCATCTCAATGGCTAAGCGAGGGGTGCGCGTTTTGTGTAGACTTGAAAAGCGCAATGAAAAGCAGCAGCATGCAAATGCATGGTCCGAGTCCACGCCGGTGTTCCAGAAGGAGCGGCGGATGGTGATCGACTCTCCCCACAGATAACTGACGAACGAAGCGCACAGAGGCGACCATCAACGGGTATCCAATCAAGCAGAGACGCTTCCGCTCGTTCGCACAATACAATACCAACGCCAGTATATCCAGGTACAGCGTCCTCTGCATCACAAAGGGTGCACAGCCGGAACCTGGAAGAGCGCGAGGGGGAAGTCAGTCCGATCACAGTACTTGCGTCCTGCGTCCGCGTTTCTGACAGGCAACAGACATCAATGTAGATGGAATTCGGCGTGCGGGCAAGAGCCACCTGTTGGCCTGCTTACTTCAGTATGCGAACATTAAAGGCGGCTAAGCAGACAGGCTTTCGGGGTTTAAAAACGGACTTCAAACTGTTTAAGGTTGTGGCTGAACTCGGACGTACAAAAGCTGCTTTTGTGTGTGACACACTGCGAGCAAAAATGTTAGACCTAATGCTGGGACCTTCGGAGAAAATATTCAAATTTGAGTGGAGGAGGGTGGAAGACGAAAGACGTAGAGGTGTACGAAGGGAGGCGTTGGTAATGGCTTGTTTTCGCTTACCCGCCCTCCTGTATGCAGCTAGTAAGGCGACTCGGCTGGTGACAGCACGCGACGGCCGACATAACATGAGAGTATTGTTACCCGTAAGTGTCATGGTTGTAGGAAGGCTGGGATGCTGTCAGGGCGCCCACACATAGACAGGGGGACGAGTGGTGTCCTCCACCTAAGTCTTTGGCTCAATAGCCTAACAGCAAGGCGCGGTGTTAGGCCGGAAATGCAAGTTTATTTCCATTTCTACGGAACAAGTCGCCACACATGTTCCAACCCCCAACGTGGTAGGCCAGAAGATTGTTCGTCAGAACTTTACCAAGTGACCAACCTGATATGAGAGACTGAGTGTTGCGCGGACACCCCGAAATATAGTCCAATGGGTCGCTGAGGTACACAAAGCAGCCACATCACGACAAGGTGGCAAGTGTAACTGCAACTTGGCAGTTGGTTTGACAATTATATTGTTTCTTCCCAGAGAAAAGATCTCGTTTGTCTCCACCTTTTTCAGATTTTTTTGATTAAAGTGTATGGGGATGATGATCCGGTGCAGTAGTCTCCAACAAATACGTTCTTTCAGAACCACTTGTTTCATTGCTTGCTGTTGAATATCTGGGTGATCCAAGAAGTTTCACCCGGAATGCCCTTTCTAGTTGATTTCCAACTATTTCCTCAAACGCTAGAATAGTGTTTTTATAAGAAATTCCAGTTGTTCGTAAATCACCGCTCAGCAATCTCAAGCTATTCCCTCCATGAATTATAGTAGTTTTTTGCAATATCGGCCAACGCTATTCATGTGTGTAGAAGAAAAAGTACTTCGATATCGATCCAACTAAATATTGAGGTGACCCTAATGCCGTATACTAAGTCATTTATCCACTGTTTTGTAAAAATGAATGATTCCTTGGAAGTCAATTACTGTGTGAATAGCTTACCCTGACGGTACTGGAGCTGTTCAATGACTATGCGTTTCACCAACTCAATTTATCTGCCGTCCGGAGGAGACTGGACATTACCGTGATGCGACGGTTTGTACACCTCTATAACCCATTGAGCTACACGTGGGGCGGAAGGGGGGGGTCCGTGCTTCACTCGCCCTCCAGCTTGGGGGCTGGAACACGTGTGGCGACTTATTCTATGAAAATGGTAGTGCACCCGAATTTTCCGCCAATCATCTGCATTCAGGCTTTTTAGCCTTCGGTTGATGACCCTAATCATCCTCCTGTCCAAGTGTGGGCGCCTTCACGGTATCTCAGTCCACGCACAGCCATCGGTCAACGTGTGGTGCCATCAGCCGGATCTTTGTACTTGCTGCATACAGCAGAGCGAGTAGGCGTTATCAGGCTTCTGATGACGCCTCCATCCTTTCTCCTTCACATACTTTTTCTTCCCCCTTCTTCACCTCATTACTAACTCTCTGTAAGCCCATCAAATAAGACTAATGTGGTATAGGTAATCTCTCAGCTCAGTTCTCGGTCTGAACCTTCCAAGCTAGCGTTCTCATCAAAACAACCATCAGCAGTGCACAATGTGTATTAAATGCCCGAAATCAAGTCACAAACGTTGTGTTTAAAGTGCAACAGGCAGCAACATTCTGGAAATTCCGACGCCTTCTGGACGCGCCAGTAGCAACCAGCATTCAGCAGATACTGAATAATGGATCGGCTGTTGGGTTTACACTTCCGGCCAGTCAGAGCTCGCCGTGATGCTGGACCAGCAAGCAGTCCGATCTTATGGCCCTTCTTGGCTTCCGTACCGGCGCATTACTGCAAACGGTAAAAGGGTTTTGGTGCGTGGTTCATTCTGACATCTTCCTCTTTATCAGGAAGGTCAGGTTCTTGAAAGTAACCCCAGAACTGCCGGAACCTACTGAGACCATAAAACCAACAAGATCTCAATAGGAAAGCCGGCAGGCATCCAGGCCAGTCAATCATTCAATCAATTTAGCAAAAGCTGATGAGTCTTCATGTACGCCACAGAAGAATGACCGAATGTGATCGGCATTCAGGCATTGTATGGAAGCAGGATTGATGTTGAGTGACAGCCTGGATCAATGCCAGAAATTGCCCTATAAATAGCGCGGGGCCGTTGTAACTTTTGCACTCGCTTGTTCGGAATATAGCTGTTGTTCCCTTCTATGAGTCTTTTCCGGCACTAGGCACTGGATTGGTGTCAGTAGCGGATACAACAGATTGGCGAGTCAGCAGATATAACACCTTTGATGTTTAATGACGTGGTTTCCAAGTTGGGGGTTCAATCGCAGCTCCTTCAATGGCTCGCAGGTTCCGTGTGTCAAGCGTCGAGTTGGTAAACATCCTCGGGCCGGGTCTTCAATGGAGCAGTTGCATTTCCTGCATTGGTACCGAGATCAAAAGTAAGACGGCCACGCAATGAAGGACTGTTCAAACCAGGTTTGGGTTGTTGCAGTATAGCCCATGCAGTATTGAATCTCGAACCGAACTCAAAACCAGTTTTCGTGCCCAAACGTCCACTTCCATACGCAGTAGTTGGGGGTTATTTACAGTTGAAAGCTCCGTGGCCTGTATTGTGTGGCAGGGTTTTTCGGTGCGATCTGTTTTCGCCAGCTGTCCACAGATCGTGTCTAGTCAAAATAGATTTCTTACACTTATGACTATTTTAGCTGTGCTTTACTTTTCGAGAGAAACGGTTGCTGGGCGACGCAAAAGCCCCTACCCTATACCTGTTAGTAGATATCTAGCTATTAGTGTGCCCCTAATAAATCGCCCTTGTTCCATCGCATTCAGTGTCCCTTAAATAGGAGATGAGCTGCGATTTATAATGAACAGTATATGGATCCGGCATCGTTTGAATCCTTGCATCCACTGCCCTAGCTCAATCCTTCCAGAGATCGAATTTGACTTATTGCAGTACTGTTTAGATTCATTTGATGCCAGTAGTTTCACAGTTCCCGTGCTATTTTATACTACGTCTGAGCCCGTTAACCTCTGGTACCTGAAGCTGATAACAGGAAATCATCAGATTTAGAAAAGCGTAGGGGTCCTAGGTGTTAAAACGTCTTGTGTGACTAACTGTTTCAGTTTCGTAATCGGTAGTAGTAGGAAGGGATAGCCACAGGACAAAGAATGAATGAAAGCTCCTCTTTGAATATCGTGCACATCTGTGTGATCTTATTAAAATAGAATTATCGCTGAAAGGGTTCTTTGATAGGAAGAGAATGCTGCGTATGTTATTTGTCTTGGTGCTGGGCCGAATAACCTGGACAGAAATCCTCACTCAAACACTTGCTAGGTGGTTCCAAATGGACCCGATCATCCCACTGTTTACAAGGGTATTTATCCCTTGCAAACGGTGTACTTGAACGCTGCTTGAGCACGTTGCAATATTTCGTTGTCCAGCGATCGGCAGGCCACCAACAACGAAGGTTCATGCTTCTTTCACCATTGAACTATTGCTCAGCATCTGCTCATCCAGTCTATGTAGTATTAGGAATATAAATGCACCCAGGCAAGCTCTACCACTGTTGGTCTCGTCGTAGACGGTACATCCGTAACTGATTGGATCACGTGCATGTAGGTTGTTTAAGTTTACGGGTATCCTGACGACGGACATGAGCTGTCTCGCGGATGATCCTCCAAACGAGTATCACTTTCCTTAACTCCTTGAGGTAGGTAACCTGAACATGCAGCACTTCCTCCCGGCTGTGCTCTTCAGTAACCGGTCTCCAGCTGAACCCCGATAATAGAGTTGCTGTTCGATTTTGTAGAATTGCAGTAATCTTCTATCCCCTCTCGCACCACAGTTCACAAGTGACTAGATGGTTCGCTTTGAATTTCGTCTCTCACGCACACTAAAGTTACAGAATAATCATGTTTATAGACATATGGTTATCTAAAATGGATGTCTGCTTTGTCTACCGTCAAATCATTTCAGCTACCAGAGCTGTCTGCCAGATAGTTTCGATAGGACCCAATGCACATCCATCTCTCATCAACAATCCAGTTGAGTTCACCCAAAGATTTTGAGTTACGGATGAAGGAGAGGCCCAATAACATCATTCACTTGGTCCTGCCTAACACGCAACCTGACAGTAATACGAGTGCTGCCACTGTTCCCACTATTTATTATGATTGTTGTTGTCAATATCGATCAGTGAAGGGAATGAAGTAAGTAATAATGATGACAACAACGTCAAGAGAGGCCACTTCGAGACGTGGGGATTCGATCTCATCTGTGAAATGTCGTACGATAAAGTATGGCTGACATCCACTAGGTTGTCGGTTGCCCAGTGTACTGGCCTCCTTAGAATGGTTCGTCTTTGGTGATTTCTGCAGTTCCTCGGTGAAACTAGTGATTATGACCTTTACTCGGGTACAGTCCCTAGTTCGTTCGCCAATTTACTGTCTTCAGCCCTCATCACAGTGGCATGCATATCATCGGGTGTTATTTGTTGTTTTCAGAGTTGGGAAGAATACGACCGGGCGCTAATCATCAAACGGTTCTTGTTCGAAATGCTTGATGCCTACGGATGTTTGGCCTACCTTGGTTTTGTTCTGTCTGACAGTGAAGCACTCAGGTCTCTTCTACTCACAATGCTTCTGACGGACAGCCTGCGTCGTTTTGTCATCGAATCTCTAATACCACTGATAATATATCAGTTCCGTATGTGGCATGAAAAACGTTTGGCAGCGAAAGAAAAACGTGCGGCAGATTGTGACACGCTCCCCATCCCCGCTATTGATTGGTCAAATTATAAACGTGAATTATGCGCGGAATCCTACGAACCATTTGATGACTATCTCGAAATGGTTCTCCAGCATGGATATTTAGTTCTTTTCGCCTATGTCTGCCCTTTGCTTGGTGCTCCGATCGCCCTTGTTTCCACTTTTTTCGAGGCACATTCCGATGCGTTTAAAATGTTACGGGTTACCAGACGTCCGCGGCCTCGTTTATTGATTCGTGGCAGTTTCACTTGGCTCGTACTTCTGGGAGCGCAAGCTTGGTTGTCGATCCTGACAAATGTTGGACTGTTTGTATCGTTTTTACACACTCATTTGACCGAATCCGATACTGATTTCAGCTTGTTATTCTTGATTTTGGAGCATGGGCTGTTTGTCGTTGCTATATGCATTCACCTTTTCGTCCAAGACGTTCCTTCTGTTGTTCGGGATGCTCGACATTCCCGTGAGTTCCGAAGAGTGAACGTGTTCTCAACGGTATCGAATACCACTTGAATCTTTACCTGTGAGTAAATTTACCATCGCTACCCGTTCCTTTTAATATCACTTCTTATTTCAACTCCCACCTCTTTGTTTTTACCACAGTTTTCTTTAGATACTAATTCTTACTTTACTGAGTTGATTTGAGTTACACAACTAGTCTTTCTCAGAAAGCTCGGTCGCCCTTATTTTCCCATGTTGTGATTTTTACTATAGAGGTTGTCAGTCAGCCGTGAGATTTTTGCAGGCGATTGCTGTACATTTTTAATGACTTTATCGTCTGAACTACCTTCGAGCGCCAACTTGGGATTTCTCATTATTCTTCGTCATCAATCTGTTTACCATATTCCTAACTTTACCCACCACACACCTAGGTTTAGTGCATCACTTGTTGAAATCCTGCACCACCCTTGTAGTAAAGGATGGGGATCACTAAATAAAAAACTAATTTCTACCAGCTTTGACGCCTCGTGAATCATAGCTTTTATTAGTAAATGAGAAATCGGATCGTGCGGGTCTAGCCATGGGAAATCGACAGCCAAGTGCAAGACCGCTCCTGGTCAAGAATAAGCGCTTTCTCGTAGAACCACAATCGCTACCTCCTTTCTTTTTAGACACAGAAGCACCAACACACGAAGTCCTAACGGAATTACAGAATCGGAAAAGCTTGAATTTTGCATCCTGGATGAATCGCATCCACAGAGTCCTGAAACAACAACTCAAAATCCCACTGGGACGGTAGTTATCTTTCCTGCGCTCCAGCTTGTCACCGGTGTTGAGTTCAATGCGGAAGGAAGCGGATATGAAGGAAAAGTAAACTGAATTGCGCGGCAAATGTACTCTCAAAGTCTGCAACGGAAGGTTCAGCTATTATTTCCTGGTATTTTTTGCTCCGCAATAATCTGATATCTTGTCTTCCTACTCTTTTGAATTTCAATGATTTGTGTATCTCAAAATCTTTCCAATATCTCGTATAAGTGAAGTACAGCTATTCTGATGCGTAAATCTGTTTCACTAGAACATTACGACTTCCAGAGTGATGAGAGTTCCCCAAAAACGTACTACGCAAGAGCAAAGTTCTTTCTCCTCTGTAGATGTTACTGCTCAGTATTTTTAGTGAAGAGCTGTCCTGTTAAGGGGATGTTCCTTGGTTGGATCAATAGTCCGATTAGGATGTTTACATTCCACATAATTGAAATGAAAAATATGGAAGTGGATAACACGTTGAGGCAGTTTTCCACTGCTATCTGGTCCTTTATTCTGCTTATTCCCATCACCATGGGCCAGCAGTCACGCCACACAACAGGTAAATCAAAGTTACGGTCTTTGGGCCATATAAAGTGGGTAAAATATATAACTTCACTAACTTTTTCAACCCGAGTTACTCTACTTTCTCTTATAGTTCCGCGTCATCGTCTTTGTCTAGCTAAAGCTGCCGGACAGTCATTGTGGCTGTTTTCAGTCTTTAATCGAAAACGACTTCCGTGGCTCTGTCACTGAATCTCTGTGGTTTAAGAAATGGCCAGATAGTCAGAATAAATGCTTTTAATTACCCTGAGTTCGCTGCATCAATCACTCTGTTGTTGTGAATGCGGCTCGCGAGATACCGACACTTTGAAGCGGCCGCATGAGTTCACACTACACCTGAAAGCAAATATAATTTGACTATGTGGCGTACTTCGTTTTGTCCGGTCAGTTATCTGAAAATCACGTTGCAATCGCGCTGTAACTAGGTGGCCGCAATAAGCCTATGTGGCTCCTCAGCCACACCAGAACAGTATGCCAAAGGAGTACATGGGAGTGTAGTGTAGTATAAATTTGATGTGATTAAGTTGGACGTACTACTACTATCGGATAATATACTGACAGATTACCCATTTCGGCTCTACTACACATGCGTCATCTAATTACGGTCAATTACCCATTCGTTTGCGAATACGGTTCTCCCTCAACAAGGAAAGGCCTGCAGGCGATACTAGTTTGTTCTTCCTATAAGGAGCAAATCCTATCTCGAAAAGTGAGAAGTATGTAGTAACTCCCCTCTTCTACACGTGGCTAACAAAAAGTCCGATGTTTGAGTGTCTTCAGTGACAGAGGGCAGGGTTTGATGAGCTTATTCACTTCAAGCTTGGTTTATGCTCAAACGTTCAATGAACACAAATGACTGGAACTGAGGCAAACTGGTGCATCAGCTATATTTGCTGGATATTTGTGTTCTGGGTCGGGGACTTGCTAGCTAGACTCCAGTTAGAACCAAATGGTATGAGCTTGAGATAGCTCAGTTGTTTGGAGCGCGAATTTACTGATCGGAAGGTTTGTGATTCGAGCCCAACTTCTGCATCCCGACTGCTCTTGTCTAGGCTCGAGAAACCTGGCCGTATCTCAGCCCCCGGGCTTCCTTCAGGTGCCATGGCAGCTAGGCACCGAAAGGGTGCTACAGCTGAACGATTATTAATATTCGCCGAATGGTATATTATAACTGCACGACAACGTCGTAAATATTTGGGACTGGATAAATGAGTTATCATGTTTTGCTGTGCGTTGTTGTCTAGCTTCTGTAACTGCAGAAGCACCGACGGGTTCCTATTGGTTGTTGATCTTTTCTTGGAGCTTTGCAATTGAATTGCCAACACCTAGTTACGAGGGGACATATTGGTGCGCATTTCGATGTCGTATTTTGCGGTAACGAATTGTGCTTGTGACAGTCACCCTGCCAGGCAGATCCCATCTGTCACTTTTACCGCGCACTTGAATAAGTCTTTACGCCTAAACTAACGAGCACTCACGTCGATGATAATCCCAAAGGCAGCGTTACTGAATATTCAAACGGGACAAAAAATATGAGGGAGTGTCAAAATACGCCGCGCTGTCCTACACAGGATACACTAAGGTCGTGCAAACAAGCCGGACAAACAGTATTACAGATGCTTTGTGCAAGTAGCTGAGGCAGAAAAGTCAATATTGCACTATCATAGCAACAGAGATCAGGACTAGAGGTGTAAGAATGCTAGATTTTCATGAATCCCTCAGTTGGAATAATCTCCCCGTTGTGTTACAAAGACCGTACACCCAGCCGGGATAGCTGTCAGAACACTATTCCAACTTCGACTGTGACATGTGCCTTTGTCTTCTCCGCCGTCAGGTAACCACACCAAAATCCCACCTTTCTTGTTTACGTCAGCAGCATGCACAACTGATAGTGTCAGGATACATAATCTAACAGGTATAATCTCAAACCAAGGCGCCGGCTTAACCAAGCAATGAACAAAGAAAATAGAAGTACTTGGTTCGCAAAGGATACCGCATTCACCTATGCCATTGTGGTGTAACATGAACTAAACGAGGGTCAATGCAGATTTGACGGACATTCCCTGATGGCAAGATTAGCAATACAGCCACCACCACAGCGGCTGAAACAAGTAAAAAAAATGCAAGTTTCTCCTTCTTGGTTGAATAAATTAATGAATAATGAAGACTAGTTGCAGTATCCTGTTTTCAAGTCAAGCTGTCACTAACAGAAAATCACGTCGAACCAGAAATTGGACCAGAAGTATAATACCTGTATTGTTTGCCCCATTTCATAAAACTAACAACTAGTCATCAAAAGGGTCATGTTAGAACAACTGTATTTATCAGTTTAGGCAAGTGGTAATGGTCAGATGATTCGTTAGTCGAATGTGATTTGCGGTCTGCTTCAGTTGATTCACAACAGTGACTCAGGAATACAAAAGTTACAACTGAGTCTGATGCCTTCATGAGTTGAAGTTTAGAAACGGCTTCAAACAGCCGGAACTCATGGTCATGCGATCAGTTCTGGTCTACGAAAGCGTAATCAGGCAAAGAAATCACGTGGAACGAATGAATTCAGTTTAATCCATTTTTTGCGACAGATAAGTATTTAGGGTATTGTTATTGCCATGCTCAGTTTTTGCACGACCATAACTCGCAAAATGGGCACTAGTGTGACTGAATAATGCAAAATCGAGCGATTCGCTCGTTTATCAGGAGGCATATGGCTGCGTTTCATAGTTTGACACACACATTCGGCGTACGAACGATTACAAGCATAAAAATGCCCAGGGTCTCGACGTCTGTACCAGTATGACAATTGGGCATAATCAGAACGCTCTTGTGGGTTGAACAGTAACTGAGACAACCATTTCGAGCGATGTGCGAGCGAATTCAGTGGCATAATAAACCTGGAAAAGCAACTTTGAAAGTTAACTTATCGAACCTGACTGAGCATTCGACTAACTACACATGCACAATTTGTAAACAAGCTGTTGTCCCAGTGTCCATTGGGACGATCATTTTCACTTAGCCGGAGTGAAGAGTGAGCACTGTCATTAATCTCACGTGCTCCTACTGAATTAGTTCCATAGGCTGTTAATCAACTTTTGAACCTAGTTTTACAGTTGTGCTGCAAAAAGGAATGTGCACCAGCTCCCAATTTAAGCACCACCATTAGCTGACAGTAACTAGAACGTAACGTAGAACACAGTGCTTGATGGTTCTGCATGCTGCACAGATCATTGTGCGATTGAATGATTGAGGAAACAGCTCCATCGTAACTGTTGACCGCACCACAGGAAAAACCATGAAGGTAAAAACCATTCCCTTCCACACCCGTTGAATTCACTTTGCGGCATGAAGAGATCAGTTATAATGTGAGGAGATTCGGAAATTTTCAATTGAGATTTTGTCCTGTAAGTAAAGCCAATCTGTGCTGAAAACCTATGAGGGACCCTACAGCTGCTTCATCCTTATTGGGAATTGTCAGCAGCGCGCATTTCGTGGAACTCCGGGAAGTCGCAAACTACTGGCCGGTTCGAGATTTCCTGGGGTTTTCTTGAGATGCGCTCTGCTGACGATTCTTGGTTTTTCACCACAGGTTGGTTTAACTTACAGAACGAGATCTCTATTAGAAACAATTGGTAGCAAATCCAGCAACATCAATGTTGACACATGTTTCACTGCCGTACTACTACGAAGTTTATCTAATTATATTTAGAGCCTCAGAATGAAGAGTGGATGAGGGAGGGAAGGGACCTGGTGATGGATGGCCTGTCACAAGCATGCCGAGCTGCTACACCTCCAAGCTCTCGATCAGACCATCTAGGAAGGAAGTGGAAGCACGAACGCCACGGACATCGATCAGTTGACGTTTCTTGCAATATCTCTTGACAAGCACAGGCGGGGTCAGAGGGACCCCATCCTGGAAGTTGTACCGAACTAACATCATAACCTCCTTCACACCCTTCTGCTAAGAAATGCGTCACCCATCTCCCGGTTTCCGCAATTTTGGAGGCACAGAGAATAATACTCGTCTCAGTAGACGATGTTTCGGCATGCGTAGCACATGGCTCAACCAACACCATTGATGATTCCGACCGCTTTCCGCGATTGAGGTACCTGCTGCACAAAAATCCCCGTTTTCCGATCAGCTCGTTACTCATCCGTTGACGTCATCCAAAATTAGTAACGCCTCTGAGGTACCGGTGGTCA